TACGCCACAATCGTCCACCTCTACAAGCACAAAGGAGACAGACGACTCTGCGACAACCACCGAGGGATCTCGCTGCTCAACCATGCAGGGAAGATCTTCTCACGTGTCCTCCTTTACCGCCTCAACAACCACCTGGAACAAGGGCTCCTACCAGAAAGCCAGTATGGCTTCCGCCGCAATCGCGGCACCGCAGACATGACTTTCGCCGCGCGACAGCTACAGGAGAAGTGTCAAGAGGTGCATACTCACCTTTACGCGACCTTCGTGAACTTGACTAAAGCCTTCGACACGGTGAACCGGGACGGACTGTTGAAAATCATGCATAAATTCGGCTGCCCGGATCACCTCATCCAAATGGTACGCCAGCTCCACGACGGGATGATGGCACGCGTAACTGAAGACGGAACAGTATCCGAGGCCTTCGCAGTAACAAACGGTATGAAGCAAGGGTGTGTCCTCGCGCCAACCCTCTTCAGTATCATGTTCTCTGCCATGCTGATGGACGCCTACAGAAATGAGAACCCTGGCATTGGCATCACTTACAGAACTGACAGGCAACTCTTTAACGCCCGACGTATGGAGGCGCCCACGACCTGCTCTTCGCGGATGACTGTGTGCTAAATACAACAACAGAAGTGGACATGCAAAGAAGTATGGACCTATTCGCCAACGGCTGCGCCAACTTTGGACTTACCATCAGCACAACAAAAACGGTGGTAATTCATCAACCGCACCCGGTGTTGTTTGTAATGCTCCACGAATAAAGGTAAACAACACTGAACTAAAAGTTGTGGAACGCTTCGCCTACCTAGGCAGCACGGTGTCCCGCAACTGCAAAACCGACGACGATACTGCTCACCGAATCTGCAAAGCAAGTCAAACATTTGGTCGGCTTAAAGCCTCCGTCTGGAATCGCCACGGGCTGCAACTATCTACGAAACTAAAGATGTACAGGGCTGTCGTCCTCACAACACTCCTATATGGAGCAGAGACCTGGAACGTCTGCGCAAACTAAGCTCAAAAGTTGAATCATTTCCACCTGAGCTGTATCCGCAGAATACTCAAGTTGCGATGGCAGGACAGGATTCCGGACACAGAGGTGCTGGAGAGGGCAAAAACTTTCAGCGTCCACGTCATGCTGATGCAGAGACAGCTGTGTTGGAGCAGCCATCTGGCGCGGATGGACGACAAAAGACTACCAAAGCGATTGCTATACGGTGATGTCGCTGAGGGGGCTCGCCTGCAGGGAGGACAAAAGAAGCGCTACAAGGACACTCTGAAAAACTCTATAAAGTGCCTTCAAATCAACACGAAGACCTGGGAACACCTCGCGCAGGACCGACCTACTTGGCGACGAACAGTAAAAGTAACACAGCTACCTATGAGACCAGTAGGATCGCTACCGCAAAGGCAAAAAGGGCGGCCCGAAGGGGCCCTACCCAACAGACGAACGGTGCCAACACACAAGCCCCTCCAACCAGCTGGCGTACAAGCACAAATCTACCTACTCCCTCCGTCGCGTCACACTCTTCTTTCGCACATATCACGCAGCCAACCTCTTCCACCAGCTGGCCGACGGATGGGTCGATCACCGCCTCGCCTTTCCCGATTTGAGGAAACGGCTTCCACCACGAAGAAAGGCCCTAAGGCAAGCTATTCCTCCCCCTCAGGTCAAGATGAAAGAGTTAAGTCTCACCCTATATTCCTCCTATCTGC